CTAGAAGAGAGGAGAGTTGAACATGTAAAAAATTATATATATTTTTATATATATGATTCATATCTATTTACAACATGGCTGGGACAGCAGAACATCCAAGGAGGTTGCACAGCCACTGCCAGCACCGCCCTGGCCAGGTCAAACAGGGTCTGGAAAGGTGACAGAGACCAAAGCACGGACCCATGGTGACAAGTGGGCAGCCCCCAATCCCGCTACGCTCCTTGCCCGCTCCACAAACCGAAAACTGTTCTCTGCAGCCACGGGGCTGGCAACGGAGCCCCTTGCTTGGAGTGCCCTGATGAGTGGAGCTGCGGCTGGCTTACTCCAAACCACCTGAAGGCAGACACAAGCATCTGAGCACACCCTTGGCACTCTCCCGGGAAGCAACACCGTGTTCCTCGCTCCAGCCAGCAGCAGGAAAGCGCAACGAGTAAACCAGGTTCTCAGGAAAGCCTGCGTCAGCCAGCCAAGAATGCACGTAAGGAAAGCCGTGCCCTGCCTTGGTTTCCCCTGACCCAACGGGAACCCCTAAAAAAACCAAACAAAACCCCCCCAAAAAAGTCCACTCGGCTTCCTTTTGCCCACATGCCTTCAAAACTGGGCCTTAACCGGGCAGGTTTAGTGCTGCCCTGGCACAGGCATGCCGAGACCTTCCGCTGCACAGGACAGGAGGCCGCTTCATCTCCGCTGCATGAGGAGTGGACAGTATATGCACCAATCGCGCAATATATCGATGCATATACGTCAATCTGCAGGCTGCAGCCATCACACCAGCCTTTTGTTTTGTTTTTTGGGGTTCCCCCCCTACCCAGGCCTGGAAACAAGAAAAGGCAAGAAGAAAAAAAAGGGAGAAAAAAGAAAGAAATCCAAGCTTGGGGTGCCTGACACTGTCAAAACAGATTTGCCTCTACGCTCCTCTCTTCCTAATCTCCATGCTCTCTGCCTCCGGTGCTTTCTTCCCTTCCAGGGTGGTTATTCCCAGTCCTGCCTCTCTCCCTCCAGAGATCGGCTCCAACAGCTCACATCTGTCTCACCGGCTGCTGCCGACCCCCGCTTTGCAAGCACCAAAGTCTGGGCATCAGGCAGGGGCTGTATGCGACCAGAGAGGGCTCTGCCTGCCTGCTTGGCCACTCTCTCCTGTGTCCCAAGCGCCCTGCTGCTGGTGGGATTCAGCTCACCACCTTTCGCTGCCTACCTGGCAGCCGGGAGAGGAGCTGTCTCTCACCCCTGCCAAGGCAGACAGCCTCGCTGGCCAGAACTGACCAGGGAGAGAAACTGTCCCCAAACCCTCTGGGGCAGCTGCGAGCCTCACGCCGTGCCCCACCGTCACAGCCACACTCAGATGCAGGTGTGGTGGGGCTCTACCCCTGAAACAGCAAACGCCTCATCACAGCTCCAAGCCACGAGGACTGTTTCAAACACTTCCCTGCCACTCTCCTGCAGCCGTTGGATGCATCATTCCTTCCTGTGAGCTCAGCTGCTTTGTGCAAGCAGGGGACAGACCCCAGGCAGCTCAGCCCAGCAACGCAGCCACGTAATTTTTTGCATATCAGCTAATTTCTTCACTTAGAAGCTCTAACACACACACCTAACTAAACTTCCAGATCATGTACCGCACCTTTTGCCCAGCTGATTCTTCCTCTGCAGACACCCGACGCCTGAAAAGCATTCACACACCACAGCTCCAAGCTCTCCCCTCCTACCTGGTGCCAAGCAAACAGCAACTCCTCTGAGCACTTTCCTGCTTCTCCCGGGGCTGCTCGACTCTCCCAGTGAGGAGGCAGCGCTTCAGTGGCTCTGCAAGCGAGGATGGTCTCAAACAGCATGAAAATTAAGGCAGCAAACCGACTCGCTAAAAGGAACGGCCCAATCAAATCTGCCTGTGCATCCTGGGCTACTGATACCTCTTGCTCGCCTTCTCGGTTTTGGTGTGTGTTCACTGTAAATACTCAAATAACTATGTGGATTCTGGTGCTCCCGTCCCTATGGTACAGTGAAGTTCAATCCATTTAGCCAAAAGAAAAAAAAGAAAATAGGAAAAAACCCAGCCTGTGAGCGCAGGCTACCCTGCCAGCTTGCTGGTTACAAGCGAGGATTTTCTCTGCGGGAGGTCCTGCGGTGTGGGGATGTGGTCTCCTGTCACCAGGTTCTTGTCTGGCCCCGCACTCGGCAACTGCTTGTTCTTCATCTTTGCCTTGGCCATGTTGTAGTCACCAGAATCAAAGTATTTTTGCTGGAAGAGGGAGAGGAATTTGGGTTACTTTGATTTGCAGGAGTGTGGGGACATAGCAGAGATACAGACATCTGGCCACAAATATGGTCCTTTAAGGAGCTGCTGGAGTTGCTCGAAACCAGGTCACCAAAACATCACGCAAGGGGAAAATCCAAGGGAGACTGGCCCAATTTAAAAGGCCTTTAGCACCCACCCACAAACCCCAGAGTGACTCAGACCTGCCCCAGCTGGAAGAAGCTTTGCCCCACAGCAGCTGCCTGCCTGATTCGAGACACCAGGGTGCATTTTCTCCCTTTGACCCACCTTTGGGCGTGGGTAGCCTGTGAACTTTCACTGCTTGGCGTGGCGCTTGCTGGGCAAAGACCAGGTTTGTCCTGGTCTGTCCTTGCATCCCACTCAGTGTGACAGGGATTCAATCCCAGTCCAGAGACCCCCAGACAGCCAAACGCAGGCACAGCCACGTCAGCAGACGTCTCCAAGGGGAGGCCCAGCTACAGTGG